GCCTGAGAAGTTACACGCCAGGCTCGGACAAGGTGTGAACTTGGTTTCTCTATAACCCTTACAGGTTTCATAACAGCCACATTGCAGAAACAGACTCATCATCCCACCCAAGCACATAAAGGTTCCAATAATGACAAGAAAACTAAAACCCTTAATCTCTTCCTCCTCCTTCTCTTTGCTGCCCATCCTATCCCTACCAGAGCTGGAAGTCTGCAGGAGCAGAGATGGCAGCGTTTTGTGGCAGTCTGTCACTTTCTGCTAATCTGCCAGTGCTGAAAATCATTTTAAATCCATTCCTGTCTTTTTGCATTTGCATAACTGTCTAGAAAGAAAACTCTAAAAAGGCAGAGCCTGATTTAGTGTGAATGAACATGTCATAAAACATTTCCAACTCTGCAGCACTTATGTAAATCTTTCATGATTTAAAAGTTGCCAAGTTACCAATACTGTGAGTCTTATAAAGTACTGGCCTTCACGCTCAGGGTATACAGAGAGATGATTTCAAGTCAGGCTTCCCTTCCCAGTAGCTATGTTTGTTTCTCCCAGAAAATAAAAATGTTATACATGGAAATTATTTGCATTCATCTTCAGTGCCGAAATAGATTTTGGGAAGGTTGAAAAATGCATTGACAGTTTTGGTGAAGAACAAGGATGTTTATCAAGGTGTTTTTCTGTTTGGAAGGGAGTTATGGTAAAAAATGTTTTTGTTTGGTGCATTTAGAACAAACAACCTCAAAGCACATCTACATCTTCCTCTCCTGAGCACCTGTGTGGGGCCGCAGGGATGCTCTAACCCCTGTGGGCTGCCCAGTCCCAGCCTGGGGTCAACTTCTGCCACCAGCCATTGCAAGAAGGACCTGAAGCTCTTCTGAACAGAAGATGTCAAAGGAAATCTGTCCATAAACCGCAGTGCAACATCTGTGAACCCCAGCTTGACCTCTCCTGTTTGCCAGGCTCTCAACCCTACTGTTGTGGAGGAGCACCACGCTGCAAAGAAACCTGGCAGCAGCCTTCACCCTGCAGCAGTCCCCAACGCTGCCCACTCAATATCAAAGTGCTGTGACCACAGCAAAACACAACTATGCCTCAAACAGAGGCACCCATCCATGTTGGACATCACACTTTGGGATCACACAGGCGCTACATGGGGTGAACAAGGGGATGTGCCTTACCTCACACCCTGAAACAGCCATCTCTGCCCCCAGAAGCAAATAAAAGGGTTTTGGCAAAGGAGCTCCCTTCCCACCCTTAGGCCAGGAGCAGCCCTTACCCTAAAACAAGAGCCTTAGCCTTCTCCTCACAAAGAGGGTGGCTCAATATGCTTTCTCCCACCCCATCACTCTGCACTTTTTTCACTTTTCCAAGAACACACCTTTTTCACAGGCATCCCTCACCTCAGATGCTTGCTGCAGGATTTATTTATAAGAACGATTCTTTTCCCTCAAATTGGCAGAACACCTCTGGCAGAGGAGCTGGGAGATCTCAGAGACGGATTTCCCAGGGAGATTTCCCACAGCAAGAACTACCTCTGCTCCTGAATAGAAGATGATCGCGGGCTCTAAAGTTTCTCTCAGCACTTGAAGCGTGAGTGATAACAGACAGCTTTGCTTCACATGCCAGTGCAGCAGTATCAGGGAAATCGCCGTAGTCCCCTCTAAGAGAAAAATGCAAGCTGCCAGCACAGTTTGTTTCCTTTAGCTCCCAAACATTGTCAGCGTAGGTCCATCAAACCCTATTACCAGCTCCTAACCCAACCAACGTTACAGCCTCAAAAATCCCCGCTCCTTGCACGACGTGCATTAGGATGTGGAGAATCTCTGCTTTATGCCTCCGAAGATTTATTAGAGAGACAAGGTTTTCAGAAGGAAGCAGCACCTCGTATTTAATCAACTGGATGCAGCTGAAAGTGTAATGAGTACACTCACAGGCCCAGAAGCTTCTTTTCAAGTGTGACACAGGCTGAAAACCTCAAGCTAAGCACAGATTAGGAACAATTGCTCCAGGTTTAAGTTAATTGTATAAACCAATTAGGCAATCTAAGGGGAAAATGCACCTGTAACAGAGCACAGAAATGGTGAGCACCCTTCCTGCAGTACAGGGAAAGGCAGGAAGTTAGCATATGTGATACTGAAAAAGCTCAGGGTGGAGGAAAAAAAAAAAAAAAAAAAAAAAAACACTGTCTTGAAGTCAGTATCTCACTTGAATTTAGAACGTTTTATATTCAGAGCTATAAATTTTTACCTCTCCGGATGCCTTCAGAAGGTTTTATAGCTCTATTTTGAAGAATAAGCTGCAAGTTCAAGTGTTTGTCTTTCTCATGTAGGTATTCCCACTGGACTGGGGTCATCAGGAGGTTTACTTCAGCTCCTATCACACCATACTCCAGCACTGCACTGAACAAAGTCTCTCAACAGCCCCTGGGAAGAACAGGAACCCAGCTGGCCACACCACAGTGCAGGAGCACAGAGCAGGGGGCTCCTTGCCCCTTCCAGTGCCCCCCATTTTTGGGTAAGTGCTCAGCTGGGAATAGCCATGAGTTTGTTTCCTACGTGAACACTTGCCTCGAATCAGTGCGGTTTAAATATAACCTACAATGCATTTGTTCCACCTGTTGTCAATCTCAGAAAGTTCTGTGAAATCCTCCAGAGATTCCTCTTTAATAAGTTTATTGACTTTATGCCAGAAGCACCACCGAAAACAGAGAACGGGGTCTATTTAAGTGAGACAGATTTCACAGCAGAGCAGCTAAAAATAAAGCCCAGAATAGGAAACAAAAATGTTTTCAGCATAAAGGAGCAGGCTCACCATAAACATTTTTGAAGCAGGATCCTCTTCACAGCCAGCAGCCCTCCTGCCACCCAGGCAGCACGGAGCGGGCTGCGGTTCGGTTCAGCCCTGTAAAGGATGCTCTGCTCCTTACAAGCACTGCAGAGTTCTCCATGAATGCAGTCAGCAGCAGCAGCTGCTCCTTTTACTCCAACAGCATCTGCTCCCTGGATAGACCATGGATACCCTACCCCCAGAGAGCAGGGCTGTCTTGTAGAGAAGCCATCCTTATGCTTTTTGACAGCATTGCATTACTTTAAAGACAAGGAGGTTGATGCAACGTGTAGGCAACCACTTCTGCACACACAGCCAGGACTTGATTTCCCCCACCATGCCCACAGGAGATGCATTACTTAGGCACATTTCCTACAGCATCACAGCAAACGGTGTCCTGCTGCCCAATAAAATGGGAGCCTCACAAACGAGCAATCTGCTAGGATCCTGTTCTCCCATTCAGGTGCTGTTTCTCAGAATTAACGACATCGTATCTCAGGGCCAAACAGCACAGCAGCTACCAGCAGGGACAGAGAGACAGGCAGGAGCACAGCAAGAGCAAACAGTCACTTAATCTTTGTTTCGTTGGTAACCCCGGGTTAAAAAGACAACAAATATCAGGTTCACGCAGGCAAAAGCAGCCTCGGGCATGTGCCACCTGCGTCCCCAGCACACCTGTGCTGCTAAGCACATGGCAGTGCTGTTAGTGCTCTGTGTGCTCACCCCATCCCCTCACACCAACAGGATCCAGGCTGAGCCCATCCAGCTGGGGCCAGGCAGGACACACAGACCCTGAGGAGGTGCCAGCAATCCTTCTCCACAGGCTCTGCCTTATCACTGACTGGAAAACACCAAGGTTTTGACATCAGCTTCAACAGCACAGGTTCAGCGTTTCCCTCTCCTTTCCAACAAGGAATCGGTGCAGCCCTTCTGATACAATGGAGAAAAAAAAATGAAAAAGAGTTCAGAAGAACTGTGAAAGGACAGATGCTAAAACTCATTTTATTTTGCAGCTTGCAAAACCAGTGCAAGATCAGCAATTGTAGGTGCTGGCTTCAAGACAGCTGAGCACTGCACCGAGCTATACCCACAGCAATCTTCCCCCCTCCCAGAGGCAGCAGGTGGCAAAGCTGAGTGCCCCAAGTACCTGCTCCCATCCTGCTGGGCCTTCAGAGCTCCACAGATGCTTTTCCAGGTCTCTCCCTGCCCTCATCTTGTCCAGACTGGCTGCTGTCAGCTCTCTTCCTCCAGCATTCCCTTGCTGCTGCCCCCACCATCACATTTGCTCCCCCCCAGACACCTTGCAGTCACCCCAATAACCACCGGCACCTCCCAGCCCCCAAACATCCCCATTTCCACCTCAAAAATCTCTTTTGCCACCATCATAAGTTTAACTTTGCTGCCCAAAAATTCTTACATGGATAAAACCAAATTTCCTGAGGCATGGAGGAAAGCTTGAGCTGCCTTTAAACATCCTATCAGATATCGTATCATACACCATCAGATTGCCAAAACAGGAACAAGACGGGTTTGGGATACCCACAGAATGCATTAGTATGGTACTGGTGTGTATTACAACGACGCAGTTACAAATACAGAATTTGCCAAAGGTTTGAGTTACCTTCCTTGATTGAGAACTGCAAAGAAGAAAAAAAAATGAAGCCTGTTTCCAGCCAAAGGGCAATAACCCACGGCTGCACTTTCCGAGCAGGCCGATTCCCTGTTATATTACATTCCTGTGGCTGCATGCTGAGACACGTCGCATTATATTAAAAACAACAAAACCTGCAATCTGTTTCCAGACCAGACATCAATAAAAACCACCGTAACAATCAGCACTCCGGGTACCTGTGAGAAAATTGATAATTTAGTACCTCCAAAGAGCTCTTTCCATTAGAAAGACACCGGTAAAAACAAAACCAAACAGCATCTCCAAATGCGCTCACTTCAGAGCTTTTTGCAGGACGCGGGGATGAGAACAACCAAATGGATCTGGAAACGGGGCTGCCCCCTTGTGCCCTGTAATGGGGAGGACAGGCCAAGTGACAAAGACATTTGGAAAACTAGCCCAGGTTCAGACACAGCGTTACCCATGCCTAAACACAAGGGAAGATGACACTTGTCCTTCAGCTTGGATTAGTCCCCAAATCCGAAATTAAGTTCCCCACGCAGAAACTCACTGTTTTGTGGCCCTTTTGCTGCTTGGCTCACTGCAGACACCTCCAATGGAGCTACCTGGATGCCAGCTGCCTTCCAGCAAAGAGCTGTAATGGACCAACGGGGCCATGTGCAGAGGTGCAATATGGCACTAGTGCCTGGAGGGAAGAAAAAAAAAAAAAAAAAAAACACAACTTTAATCCCAAAGCGACGCTGGTGAATGATGCTGTGAACAGTCCCCTGCCTACTGGCACCTACCTCAAGAGAACAAGCTCACAAAGACAGAGGATGCCCGTTCAATTTGCTGCTGTGTGAGGTATGATCTACAGCCTACTTCAATTAGCACAGTCCTTTGGAGGAAATTTGACTGCAAAGCAATGACAGTGATGCTGGTTGCCACCTACCGCCAACTGCCCTTCCCATCCTAAAACTTAGCCTTACCTCTTTCAAAGAAGTGCAACTGAAATCACTGGGAATTTCCACACCCAAAGCATGCTCCAGGAGGTGCCTCGTAAGTCTTTGATATGCAGCACTGGTAAAGTTCAGTATCTAGCAGTAAAAGTATTTCTGCAAGGCAAGCTAACCGGTCCTCCACACCCTGCTCTCTTTGCATTACAGCATTATGGGAGAGCTGAAAACTGGACCACAGACAAGTTATGCCCAGTAAGATGAGGGAAGGTTTCCCTCCAGCCCCCTTAGCTCCAGTACCTTGAGGGAACCAGCCTCCTGCTGCCAGCACAAGCTCTCCTCCAAACTCTTGGGCTTGAGGCTCACCAACTCACACCCTTTTCAATGACCAGCACATGAGCTACCCCGAGATAACACCAGGGTAACCAAACACCAGCTCACCTCCCTCTGGAGCAGGTACCTGTGGTCAGGAAGGGTTGCTCCTTTGGCTAATGGCTCACCACATCCTGCTGGAGCAACTAATCCAAGGCCACATTTGTGCTAATAGCCCTAACCCTGGACACAGGTTTAATTTGTTTAACATTAAATTTAAGGCTTCGGGGGCCTCCATAATGAATTTCATTAAACAGAAAAATTCTATAATGTAGTATTTTATGATTAATTAACTGTGCATAAAAATGGTAATTATAATTATGCTCATAATTCCACACTCTCGTGTCATTATCGTAATAATTGATCAAAATGTTTTACCCCACAAGCATTTTTAAAACTGCAGTGCAAGAGCAAAACCTCTCAAGCCCACACTAAACACAGCTCTCACAGGCAATCCCCAGATGCTGTCTCTTCATCCCAGGACTTCTGATACAGAAGCCTTTTGAACAGCCATGACAGCTTCACCAAAAAAAAAAGCTGTTTGTTATGACGGGTAAGGAGAAAGGGAGATGAAAGTCCATTTGTAGATGGAAAAAGCCTGCTTCTGATCAGGACGCAGTCGAGGAACAGACTGCAGTTTCACTTTGAAAATGGCCAGGTGCCCTACTTTTCTGCTTTCTGTGCATGGCTTCTGATCACAGGCTGCATCAAAAGCACCTATTGCCTGTTTTTGAAGATAATGGAGATTAGACAAGGGAGATCAAACAGATTGGATAGGCAGCTGAATAATTATCCCCCTACCTTTAGACTTGCATCACATCACAGCCAGGGATTAGAAAAATGCTTCGAAAAAGAGGTGGAAAAGTATTACTGACCTAAACTGCCATAGGTGTAGCCTAGGAATAGAGGGATTAGACAACTGCCTGTAGCAGCCAGAACTGAATTCTCCTCATTTCAGCTATCTGCTCCAAGCCCCATAAGAGAAAATGTTCTTGAATGGTTCAGCTGTCTCTGCTTTGGGCCTGACTCTCCTCAACAACAGTTCTTTTGGAGTTCTGATCATGCCAGCCTTCGCCTGTGTCATTCCTTATATCTGCTAGCATCTCTTCTGCTGTTCTGGATGATTTTGCTTAGAAAATGATAATATTTTCCAACATCTTCCCTATGGCTACAGTGGCATGGGTCAACCATTCCCTAATTTCTACCAGAACTCTGGTCACAGAAATGGGGGAACGTTATATTCACTGGCTTTAATAATTCACAATAGGTGTCAGCCTTCTGGAATATCCCAAACATGGCCAGAAAATAGGACGTTTTCACGACCCGGCAGCCACAGCTTGTTAGGGCCACACAGAGCTTTAACTGCATGTTTTGCAGCCAGTGTGATTGTCACTTCAGCAAATCCCTTGCCGCAGAGAGACAGCAAAGCAAGTTTTGAAAGCCCGCAAGTACAAACAAAACCTAGAGTCTTCCAAAACTGACATCACAGAGCACATTTCTTTTTTTCCTCCTCACCATGTCTAGTTTACTTTTCTACATTCCTCTCCCTTCAAGAATCTGCTTTTCCTCTGTGAGAGCTTTTTACCTCTGATCATTTCCAGAGCCGGCTGTGCCAGCCTCCTGCTTTCTTCTTCTCCCTGTGTCTTTCTGCTTCTCCAAGCAGTCTTTTAGGATTACCCAAACATATCCTGAGAGCTCAGCATGACAGGGCTGCTCTCCAGCACTCCTTCACATCACACCCACTGCTCCCTCTCCTGCTGGCTTCCAGGAGGCTCTCTGGTCACTACGATGCTGTGGCTGTCCCACAAAGAGCAACAACGTTGGTGTGACAATCCTTCTTGCTGCCTTCAACACGTGGATGAGGTATTTGTGGATGAGGTTTTGGGGTAGGTACAGCCCTGGGATTCCTGTGGAGAGATTGTTAATGAAGTCAGCAGAGAAAAGGCTTCTTTGTGTTCCCTACCAGCCACATTCGCCACCCTCCCTCATCCCCAGCACACTGAGGCCAAGGCACGGGGTCTGTTTGTGTCACCTCTTGGCACTGGAAAGCAGCAAGTCCCAATGCTAAGGTGATTGAGGGACCTCCCGGCAGGCTTTGGCTGTCTGTGGATAGGACCAATTTATTGAGCGAGCTCACAGTCCTGGATACTGGACTCCAAGAGGAGCCTGTCCTTCAGTGAGTAGATGGGTTTTTGCAAGCCCTCACCACCAGCAGATTTATCAGTTCTTCTTGTATCTACTTTTTCCTGTACTTCTGACCTTAATTTCCCCCAGTGTAGCATTCATCTTTACAAAAATAGCTCCTAGACACTTATGTGAGCATCCCAGTTAATTCCAGTTAATTAGTTCCTTCCATTTGCACTGAGCACTCCCCAAAATCAGCTTTCCCCATTGAGGATACCCTTGGTAAACAGATGGAAACAACTCCCACCAGCAACATTTTCAGTCAGCCTTAAAAGATGGAGCAGCAAAATGCACCTGGGGGATTGTGTCTGCACTGCTGAGATGTCGGGAGGCTTCCTGCAGTTCCAGGTGGTGTCAGCTCAGTATAAGAGGGACACTTCAAGTGCCACCAAGCCTGGCACAGCCCTTATCCCTCTGACCCTTCCACCTCCACCCCAGCTGCCTCTCAGGGACCTGCACGAGGCAGTGGATCAGCAAGCAAATCTTGCTGCCTGAAGTATATCCAGATACTTTCCAGAACTAAAATATTTTCAAATGGACGGGGACTGCAGCAGAAGGCCAATGCACCTGCCTGGCCCAGACTTCCTTATCCCTGCAGAGCAATAACCTGGCTTGCACTAAGTTTTTTCCTTTCTCCTCTTTTTCTGACAACAGCCTGCTGCCCAACACAGGTTGGTAGCTATGGCCATGAAGCCCTCAGATATTCGGATGGATAAGGAAGCAGCTGGGCAGTAAGATCTGCCCCTGAGCTGCCAGCCAGGACAGGACACCATCTCCTTTCCTTCTGCACAGGGCAGACCCAAGGACTTACCCAGAGCTCCACTGCTCCATCCCAGAACAATCCTCTCCAGGTGTCTCAGGCCTTGTTATCCCTATGAAGCTTCGTGAAGCAGACACCTGTGGTGGGCTGCATGAGATGAGACATTAATCACTCACTAGGAGGAACAGGAATACCTGTCAAGTGCATTGCAAGGGACCAGGGCATGCTGAGATGATCAGTCAGCAGCAGTAGCACACGCTGGAGCTGTGCTCTACACGCACATCTGGCTATTGCAAGCCTCCAAGAGCTGTCAGACTTCAAGAACCGTGGTGCAAATTGATCCCAGCCTGCATTCAAGAGCATTCAGCAATTCGCTAATATTTTATGTGGCAAAGCTCCCTGCTCTGCATGCTCGCTACAAGTTCTGGAGGATGAAATGTAGAAATATAGTTTAAAAAAATACAGTTAATAGAGAAATACGGGGCAGTTGAGTAGGACTGAAGAACAACCAGTACCAAGCTAAGAGAGCAGTCGCACTCCAGTAAATTTGGGCTAGGCTAGATTTCTGCTTGCATAACAGGAGAGAAATCCAACATGCAGCTCTTCGTAACATTCGTACATCTACCACGCAGGCAAAAAGGAGCAAAGGCCTTCTACTGGCTGTGTTTTCACCAATAAAGTCGTCTTGGTTCCCAAGGACTTGCTCAGGGTACACTTAGGGTTACCACAACTTGGGCAGGACCGAATAGTTCCACACATCCCCGAGCAATGCAGAACTGGAGAAAGCTGCAGCATCTTTTCCCTCTTCTTGAGCTGCCCTTGCTTAGCCCAAAGCTCAGAGTCTATCCAGCAAAATGGGTTTGTTTCATGGAAAAAATGGAATTTGCCTCTTCCACGTCACCACTTGATCATCACGTGCACAAGGTCTTCCTGGGGCTGGACATTCCCCCAGTCTTTCAGAGCTGCTGAACCCTTTCTGCATCACCTAGTTAGTCTGGAAGCATTACACCAAACGTTGTGTGGACATTTGGGCAGAAGGAGACCCTCACTCTAGTTTCTATGCCAATAAACATTGAAGAAATTAACACTGATTAAGCCTAAAAAATTTCTTCTGCCAGTGCCTCATTCAAGGCACTGAATTCCTCAGGATAACAGGACTGGGACAGGAGGGATGGGCCCATCTGCACCTCAGGTCACTGCCCAGGAAGGACACAGCTGCATCCTACACCTTCAGCACACCAAAATGAGCATGAGGGAGGGAAGGCACTCAGACAACCCAGAGCATCTCGGGCAGATAAATGTTAATCCAAGTTATTGGACTCCTGGTAACGCTCAGCCTGTCTGCAGTTGACAGGTCTAATTTCTGTTAACGTCTCACAGCCATAGCTCTGGAGGGTATTTAAGGAATGAGGAGCTGAAAACCAACCCTCCTCCAACACGGAGCTTCTCTCACCCCTGACACCAATCCGACACGAGGACTGTGCTCAGAACTGGCAATTCCTCATGCCTGCACGGTCCTGGGCACAGCCACCACTGGCCTGGAAGGGCACCAGCAGGCAGGTGACTTCTGCATGTGTTTGGGACATCACAAGCTGTAGCCTTACTCAGCCTCAAACAAAAACACATTTGTCCTTCAAAATCAGAAGGCCGCACACTCTTGCACAGTCTATTCCAACTAAACAACATGCTCAGATGCCGTGGAGAAAGTCATGTTGTAAGTCTGGATTTTGCATTGTAAGGGATCTCAGCCTCCTCATTCTGATAAAAACCGTCCGCGACCTTTCCTTTTTAAAGGCACCCTCAAAATGTAAATTAAAAAATATCAATCTACAACACAAAACACTAAGAAGAGGAAGGAATTCCCTAATTTCAGGGAAGCTTCTGAAATACCTTCTCTACCCTCTGAAGGCACAAGGAAAGCAGAAGAAACAACACATGTTGTTTGTCAAAGTCTGTTTTGCTGGCTGCCCCATTCAGCTACAAGAGGGGTGCAATAAGGCTGCACAACTGACCATGCAGCGTGGCTCCTGCCTGTAGGCATCCTGCAGCAAGGGGAGGTGCAACGGTTTCTTATCAAGGTACAGAAGACTTCCTATTTCAGACTCACTCCATCCTCATTCTTTTTGGACATGCGGTATACAGTTATATGACCTGGAGAGAAAAAAAAAAAAAAAAAAAAAAAAAAAGGATCCCTCCTTGTTGCCCGGACTACTATGAATAGTGCTTATAACCTCCCTGAGATGAACAGAGCCCCTGCTTCAGGGGGATTAGGTCTGAAAGCCATCCTGGACCACAGCCACAAACTTTCCAGGACTTCACATCCCCTGACAAGCTGAAAAGAAATGAAGAAACCTCAAGCATGTTGTGTTTTTTTTTTTTTTTTTTGCTTTGAGTTACTCAAGCAGGCCTGTGCTTTAAGTCAAGTCCCATCTAACACGTGCACACTCATCGCTGCTGCTGCATTCATCCAGCTGCCAGCATTTCAAGCCACGGAAAAGACGATAAATCTCAGTCAAGCCTTGATCACATTACAGTTTAATTGGCTTGATTTGGTTTACTTTTGGAAATTTTTAATTACTTTCGCTAAGAGAACATTAAGCAGGGGCCAGATCAATCCTTAGCCCTGGTATTACTCAGAGAGGTAGCACAGGATGATGGTTTGTAGGCTGTGAGAGCATCTCTGCTCAGAGCAGGCGCCGACGCCAGATGCTGGTGCTCCCAGGGGATGCGAGGGAGCGGATGACTGGGTTTGTGTAATCACCGTGGGTTTGATTCTGTTCAAGAGGGATTTATGTATATCCTTCAGTTAATGCACTCCTTAAATAGGCAGAGGCTTGATAGCTGGGCAACAGCATCATCTCTGCCGGTAACCAAAATCAAACACTAGATGTTTGTTTGAGAAGTGCTTGAACTTTAAGAGACCTCAGAGATTTTGGCTGCATCGTTAAGCAACAGGACATTGCCTCTGCTTCTGCCTTGCATACAGGAGAGCTGGCCAGGAGAGACCATCAGAGAGGACCTTAGTAACTCAAGTCACAGAATCACACAGAATCACAGAAAGTCCATGTGTCCCAGATCAAAGGCAGTGCTATGTTTCAGTTGAATGCCTGTTTCGGTTCCCGACAAGATTCTGAGATGCCCTGAAGTCTCACCTCCACCTCATTTTAGCTATAAACCACCACAAGTGTTTCTTTTGCTTTTCAATATAAAACAAAGCCTCAACAACCTCAGAACATCACTACCAGAAAAAGAAATATGCATTTAAAACAGAGTGATTTTGGCATAACAACAAATGATCTGAAAGTGCCTGTAAATATAGTTAATCTGGAAATTAAAGTTTTTAGCCACCAAAGCAGAGATGCTGCAACAGCCTCTCTGAAGAGCAGTAGAGTCTTAAACTACAGTCTGATTTTTTCTGAAAGGGATTATGTGCCACAGTCTCCTTGGCAGAGATACTCGAGTCAGTGATCCAGAATAGATGGATCACATCCAATGTTACCATCCACTTTCCCAGTGCCTAAAAGGGGATATATCTCAGCAGTACCTACTTTTTCACCCCACTACGTACTGGGGGAGCACTGGGAACCCAGCCCATGTGTGAACTCCAAACTGCACCCTGCTCTACAATGAAGAGTCCACTGCTGGTATCCAAAGGCTTTGGGGCATTTCTGTGCTCCCCAAGGGTTTTGCAGATCACAGGCCTGCAAATCCTAAATTCTACTAGTCGTTTTTATGGGAAGTGCAGAAATCCCATCACAGGTGGTAAAACTTTGGATCCATGATTAATTTTATTGAGCAGAGCTGTGCAATGTATATTTGTAAGTAGTCTAAAAAACAGGAGCCTTCCTCCAAAATCTATTTGCATAGTGTCTTCTGTACTTCATTTCCAAATGTCTTTAATATAAGCTAAAAGAAGTTGTTTGAACACTCCCTAAAAGCACTAAGGCTGTGCAGAAGGGCACAGTGGGCACCTACTTGGAAATAATTATGCCTCTACACTATTTTTCTTTCTCACCAAGCTGTCAAAGGAGTAAAAACATGCACTTACAGAACTCAAAGCATGAGAAAACATCACCCACCACCTCACCGTGGTGTTCAGCTCGGCCAGGTCATGCACAGCAAACCATTCCATGCTTCTGAAGTGTCCTTGAAGGAAAGGGCACACAAAACAAGATGAGGCTTGTGAAGATCTTCTGTCTGACCTGGAATCCAAAACTGGTAAGGAAACAGAATAAGCTTTTCCTGAGGGCAACTAATCCCATAGCATAATCACCAGCTATTTTCCCAAGAAGCTTGTTCTAAATAACTCATTATTTGAAGTAGACAGCTAAAAGCTTCCCTGCTCTTTTCTTTCTTACAGTGCTCCCGAGGAAAGCAGCGTGCATTTAAGGGAGAGACAGGTCTGAAAGCCCCCCAACCACAGACCGCAAGAGCAGCAGACCATGGACCTTCCCCTCCTGCACAGCACTAACAGGAGCTGGACTTTTTCCGACCCTCCCTATGAAAGAAGAGGCAGAATCACTTCCCCCTTCGGAGGCACGCCTTAGCTGGCAATATTATGGCTTGACATATTATTACCCACTGTAGAGGCACAGTGTGGTGAATATGCCTGAAAACCGAGCTGTCTTAGACAGCCTAGTCAGAGCGCCAACGGTTCCAAAGGGAAGGGCTATAAACCCTCTTATCCTAGAAGAAGCCCATTACTACAGAAATAACCTATTCCATATAAATTGGGGCCCAATTCTAAACCATTCTTACGCTCCAAACGGCAAAGCTCTTCAGCCTGCGAGTAATATCGTCCCTATTCAGGAAGCACTGAAACAAAGCACTCGGAACAAAGCCACTTTGGCGGCTCCACTGCAGAAAAGCTGTTCCCTGCTATTCCCTGGTGGCTCTCCCCTCTCCACCGAGAGGCTCTGCACATACAGCTGAGCTGCAGAAAGCACTCTCAGGATACAAACGCACAAGCAAGACGATGCACGTGGGTTGTTCCAGCTGCTTTTTAAGGGAGTTGGCATAGAAGAGTGGTGCCTCAAAACCCAGGGCTGCTGCAGGTCAGTGCTGCACGTCTAACACCACTTGCACCAAATGCTGCCCACAAGAGTGTCCTCAGCACTAGCGAGAGCTGTCCTTGTGTGCAACAGAAG